CAGCAGAGGTATGAAAGAGCCACATGTGGCTCCAGGTTGCCGACCCCTGAGCTATGAGGTCATTTGATAATTGTCTTGCCCGCTAACCTCTGACAACATTCTGTCACCTTCAGGCCTCCGTAGCTCTGGACTGTTTCATTGTGATTATCTTCCAACAGCAACACTGACTCAACAGCTTATCAGATTCACAGCAATGATTAATCAAGTCTTCTTCATAAAATAAGAGATTAGAAGTTGCACTTTGCTGCATCTGTGTTGTTTGGTGCAATTCATATTTAGTCCTGATAAACCAATAAAATATCTGCAGCAGAGTTCTAGTCGCACAAACATCCAGCGCTGCATGGTTGAAATTATTCACCCAGAACCATGTGTAGAGCTGGTTAGCCGTCATGATCAGTGAGGACACAGTAAATTTAATCCTACTGGGTTTTTTATTTTTTCAGTTTTAATCTAATCTACTGTACTCAACTGTTCATCTGTCTGTACATACAAGTATCCAAAAGCAAACAGCAGCTCTTTCTCCACAATCTGCAAACCTTTTTTTCTGTCTTTGCAAATATAACTGGAGTTGAATGAAAAGTTCTATAATATAAATGGAGTCATTCGCAGTCTGGGAGATCATCAGATTAAATTCTTTGTATGAAAGTTATTCAAATTAAAGCCTCGGAACACTTTCACCCTCCTTACATGCAAATGAGAATGTGAGAGGCTCGAGCTTTCGTCTCATCCAGACACGTATCAGAACATGTTGAAGCTCTCGAGCGACGTTTTCCAGCCTCTCAGTGATGATCGATGGCTTCATAGTCGGAGGTAGAAATCTGCTTTTGGGACTAAAAACGCCGGCTGAGATTTTAAACAGCTTCGCAGCTATAGGAGGAACATTTTGCGCCCTCTACTGGTGACCAGGATGCACTGCAGAAACAGCACAAGGCCTCTGAAGCCCTTCCTGAGCAGCATCTGATGAGAACAAAGAGGGAATAGTTCTGTACAATACTCTACTGCTTTCTAGTTTGATGCATGTTCTGCTTCCTGACTCCGATGCTCATTGTGCATTTTGCTGCCTCTCCTCAAACTATTTCTAACATCCTAAACAAAGCCTCCGTCTCCTCCGCTCTCCTGTCTGAGTCCAACAGAAGAGGCCTCTCATTTCCTTTTCATCCCGCCGTCGGTAATCTGATGCTCTTATCTAGTCAAAATGAGTATTTTCTGTATTCATGGAGGGAGTCTTCATAACCTATTTCCCCGAGGCCTGATGAAATCTCTGCCCCTCTTAAGCTCCATGTGCCTGTTTCCTCATCTGCAGACTCTGCTCGTCCCGCGGATTCATTTTCTTACTTTAAATCTGTAATTTATTCCTCTGCCTCCGCGCACCTTTCTGCTGAAACACTTTCACCCGAGTCTGAATGCTTTTTTATCAAGAAAAAAAAAAAAAACAGAGCTAAATAAATGAATAAACAAAGAGGTTTCTCAGCCCAACAATACTGCTTTGTCTTGCTGTTTGTTTGGCCTGGGAAGCAGCCGTCGCGGCCAAAAAATGTCCTTTTACACGGAGAGCGGCTTCCTTTTGCTGCTGATCAGGTGAAAATGTTCGGAGGAGAAGAATTGGCAGTGATTTGAAATGCCACCCGACGGAGAGCTTTTGTTCCAAATGAAGGCACATGCTGGGTGCTGAGAAATGTCAACAACACCCCGCGAGACCTTAAAACAGCTGGAATCCATCCAGACCTGTATCGACCCCCTGCAGGTGTACGGTGGTCCACCTGAGCAGCGAGGCGGCAGAACCACTCTAAGTGACGCCTTAACTGCTCGATAGAAAGCTTGTTGACCAACAATTCGGTTTTCTGTAGCGGCTGCTGGAGCTGCACAGAGCGAACAAACATAATGCAGCTGCTGGCAGCCCCCAGCGCTGTGCTGGTGTGGAGCTTATTTGCATTGTACACCTGCTTTGTGTCGGCGCACACAGCCAGCAGAAGTCATTACGGCTGTTTTTAGCAGCTGCTTCCCTCACACAGCGGAGTCAAGACGTCTCGCTGTACAGTGTGATGGGGAGGAAGGTGGAGCCGAGATACGAGTTGTTGGAGACCTGAAAGCCGATCCTGCACCAACACGAGTGACTCCTGTACATGTGTAACCGCCGGTGGTTTCTCCTGGTCCTCGAGGGCCACAGTCCTGCATGTTTTAGATGTTTCCCATCTTCCAACACACCTGATTCAAATGATCAGCTCATCATCAAGCTCTGCAGAAGCCTGATAACGGTCCTGGGAATCATCTGAAACATGCAGGATTGTGGCCCTCGAGGACCAGGATTGGACACCCCTGTATTAGAGGTTAAATGTTTCTCTACATCAGGGATCTCCATCTCCGGTCCTCGAGAGCTACCGTCCTGCAGGTCTTAGACATTTCTGTTCTGCAACACACCTGATTTAAATTAATGGAACTCCAGTCTGTTATTGATCCATCAATTTGAGTCAGGTGTGTTACAGTAACATCTAAAACCTGCAGGACGGTAGCTCTCGAGGACTGGAGCTGGGGATCCCTGCTCTACGGCAGGGGTGTCCAATCCTGGTCCTCGAGGGCCACAATCCAGCATGTTTTAGATGTTTCCCTCTTCCAACACACCTGATTCAAATGATCAGGATTGTTATCAGGCTTCT